ATGATGAAGATGTTTTCTAAATGACTTCTTTATTTCGTTTAACTATCTCCATGCTATTTACTTCATCTCTGCTTCCTTTCATTTACTGCCCTGTACACCTACAGTACAGTAGTGTACTGCAGGGATTACTCTGTCATTCCGAAATTAACACTGGTTTAAGATAGGCCTACAATTGCACTTTAAAAGAACAACAACCCTTGCTGTAATCGCTCCTACAGTCTACGGCATACAGTATACGTACAGTACTGTACTGCACTTTCTGAATCGAATCTTAATGGAATTTGGCGATGAAAGTCTGAATATTCGGTTCAAGGTTGAGTTGCAAAGATACTTTAATCCACGTTCATGAGTCAAATTAAGGGAGGGAAAGTGTTACAGCAATTTTTCTCCATTTGAGTAACAATGTATGAAGCAGAAGTTTGATTCATAATCTGCTTATCGTAGCACCAAGCACTGTACTGAGTTAGGGACTACTGTACCGTGAGAAACGTCCATTGAAAATAATAGTAGGCCCCCGACCAGAACATGTCTGCATTCTTGACTGAAACTATTCATTGAAATGACGTACTGTCTATTTATCTGAATCCTTTTCCATACGTGAGAAACGTCCAGTAAAAATAATAGTAGGCCCCCCGATAAGAACCTGTCTGCACTCTTCAATTGTTGACTCAAACTATTCAATAAAATGATCTCTATTTAATCTGAATCCTTTTCCATGCATTCGTTCATAACTGATTCCTCCCTGATGGACAGTGATGGTAATCCAATAGTCACTCTAGAGTTGTTTTTACACAATAACGAATTACTGTACTTGCATTATCCCTATTGAACCAACGTCTACAGTATGAATTGATGTACAGTGCAGTACTGTACTGTAGTTGCGTCACTTTGAAAACGAGTTCCTGTTTGTCTCACCAATGACGTCACGACCTCGGCCCAAGATTGGCATCCTATTATTATAGTGGATTGATGGCACGTGACTGTGACCAGGAAGCGTATTGGTACAGTACACAATCTGTCCTGTACAGTACACTCCAGTTATCTCTAGTTGGTAGTACTGTACCGGTACGTATTGTACAGTACGGTAGGTCGGAGGTCATTATCCCCGAGTTGCGATTGAAAACAAAGCTTTCTATAGTAATCATCGAGCCGTTGATATCACGTGGTAATGGAAGGGAGATGGGCACAGGTTACGTCAGCACGTACTGTACAGTACGCGTAATCGATTTAACGACGACTAATGTTTCTAATTGGCTCAGT